GAGGACCATGTTAGTCAATCAAAAGTTCAGACTCTCCTTGCCAATCTCAGGAAGATACTCAGAGTTCATGGACTTTAGTAACTTTTGGGGTTTGGACAAGACGTTACGCCTTTTTTTGCCGGTCCTCTCGGGAAGTGCGTTGAGCCAAAGTGAATCCACCTTCGGACTGATCAAAGTTGCCCCCTTTTGAAAGGGTTTGCTTTTAGTCATGGCCCCAACAGGTGATCACCTTTGTTTTCTGCGTTGGGGCAACTGTGGGTGTCAATTTTGAGGTGGTTCTGGAAATCCATGTCTGAAACTTCAGATTTGGACCCCCGGGTTTCATGCTTTCTACGGTTTTCCTTCTGACTGAGCATGCGGTGCCGACAGCATCAGAAGCCATATTGCGTTATTCTCCCCGAAAACTCCCAGTGAACCAACCACAAGCCAGGGAACAACTGCAGACTTTTCCCGTGTTTCCTACTTGCAACATTTAGGGAATCCCATAGTGTGAGCAATTGCAGTGACCAGTAAAGTCCGGCAGAGTTGGGGGGCCGCAAGGTTCAAGCACGCTTCTTTTCCCCGTCGCTCTCTCTCTCTCTCTCTCTCTCTCTTTCTTGTTCTTCCCTTTCTCTTTCTCGCTCTTTCTCTTTCTCGCTCTTTCTCTTTCTCATGAGTTGTCTCTTTCTCTGGCCCTTTCTGTTTGCAGCAGATGTTTTCAAACAAGACACCATAAGACACTCGTGTATGGAATGCACATGTGTGTATACCTAGCACACGTTGTTTGGTACGTATGTTTGGGTCCTGCTTGTCATGTTGAGCGAGGGGCCCAAACTGTTTATTCACTTTGCAACTTGGTTACCTCGCTTTTGTGTTTCTTTGTTTTTCCGTTCCTTTTTCTCAAATCCCTGTCTCTAGACGTTACACATTTCGGCGAGGCCGATGTTAGTAGTAAGCAAAAGGTTCACGTTTTGGGCTTATCCATCCAGACAAATGATGAGGGATAAAGTCCTCAGAAGAGGTTGGAGTCAATGTTTGACTCCCTATTCATCAACCCCAGTTCATTATTCGGGGGCTGTCCCTGGGTGCAATGTGGGGAATCGGACCGACCACTTTTGGAGGGGCCAACTCCCCCCCCCTATGTCTAAACTGGGGTTGATTACTATGGGGGTAACATTAGCTTGGAGTTCAGGTGGTTTCCCATGTACCCTCTACAACCAGGGGCTCAAATGGCTGTGGCTCAAAATTAAACGATCGGAGGGGCAAACCGCAGGTTTTGGTACCCATGTTTCCACTTACCAGGGTAACCCATGTTGGAATTCCGGATTTTTGAGCCACAGCCAAATCCAAATCCGAACCACCAATCCGAATCTCAACATTACAAGCGGTGATGCTCCACCGTCTCTCAGGACCCCCGGGGGCCCTGGCAGCCGGTGCAGCGCTGGGATGCCCTGGGTGGCACCTGGGTGTCTGGGACGCCCAGCTCAGACCAGGAGTCACGAGTGATTTCCCCTTTCTCAGTTGCAAATCTTGACCTTTTGACCTTTTGGTTTTCTTTTTTTGGGCCATTTTTAGTCACCCCAAATGGTGAAACTTGTAGTTCCAGGTCCTTTGGGATCCTGGCAACTGAGTTTTTAGGGGGTCTGACGGTCTGACGCCTTTTGGGGGCCTTGTTTCAAGCAAGTTTCCTGGCGGGAGTCGGGTCCCCTGACTTTTGCTTCTTTTGCTTTGGGGTAGCAGCATTTTTCTTGGGGGGGCTTTTGGTGGGTGATGTTGAAAGGGAAATCATAGAGAGCACGGCAAACCCATCGCAAGCCTTGGAAGACCTTGTGTTTTACACTAAAATGACAAGAGTACCAACCCTCAAAAGGGTCACCTTTCTCAAAAGGGAAGCATTCTTGACCAGGCTTGGACAAAGCTTGTCTGAACCGGTCCTCAGGGACTCCAACATTGCTGTGAACAATAGCGGTTTGACACGATTAAACACGGGACTCGCCCAGTCCGGATTCGCCGCGCTATTTCAGCCACAATCGAATCCGGCTCAACTGCAGGTGAGTGGAAGACAGTCTTCTTGCGATGGAGTGATTGTTGATGAGAGGTCGCCACAGCGGTTTAAACCCGATCAACCGGAAGAAGGGATCGACTTGGCGACTCCGCAATCCCAGTCACGTGGCATGCAAAGCACGTTGGGTACGACAAATGGGTCAACATCATTTTCCAAGTAGGAACCAGTTACTCCTTGTAATTTGGCGAAAATTGACCAAAGCAGCTTGGGATTTCCTTTGATTCCCTTTGACCTTAAAAAGGGGTTCCCCTCAAAACAGCACCCACCCCTGGAATCTTCCGCTGGTGCTTTCGCAGAGAGTTTTCTGTTCGCTGAAGGTACCTGGTGGTGACCGAGAACGAAAGCGTTGAGGAGCTCGGAGGGATTCTCTCGTTCAATACGCAGGGGCTGACATGGCTGTCGTTGGGAAACATGTTTCCCATTTTTGCTTCTTGTGGTTTAGTGGTTGAAGTCCACACTTAACTGCTAAAAATTAAATGTTTGCTCCCCTTCCAACGTCAACCAAGCTGAGGTGGAATGAGCCCGAAATAACTTGTGGGGGAGCTTTCTTTCAATGTAGGCAGGAAATGAGTTATGACCCTTTTAACTTCTCACCCATGCCCGATTGGGTTTCCTGTAAGGGAAGCCTTCGGTTCATTCCCAACACCCGAACTCGTTCATTCCCCACCTATTGCACCAGCAAGGAGAGTCGACTTGAATATCAACTACCGACACAAAAGGAGTGCCCCAACTCGCAGGTTGGGATCCAGGGATTTGTTTTCTCCAGAAACAGCTGTGGACATCCGTCCTCTTGATTGTTGACATGGTTACTGTGTATAAGTGTTTTTTTGTTGACAGGCGTCCTTCATTTTCACTTTGAATTGCGTTTAAGCAGCAACACCCTAACTTTGTGCAGGGGTCTAGGTCTGGCAAAGTTGTGTGGGACTTCAGTCATACCACTACGAGCGTTGACGCCGGAGATCTTCAGGCCAGGCTCAATTGGTGACCCTTCCATGGACATGATTACACGGGGTATGTGTTGCCCACCCAGCATTTGAAGTGCGTTTCCCATTTGAGCACATTTTCAATTTCGCAACAATGGGTGCAAGAAGTTGATGACCAGCAGGAGAACCGATGCCAAGTCAAACACGCTGACAACCAACCTTATAGCCTCCCTCCCTCCCAATGGAAGCTCAAAGAAGGTCAAGCATGTGTTAGCAACACGGCTTTCACTTTGCAGCCCGAACGATTGGTATCGCGGCTGCCTGTGAAAATTATTTCTGTTGAGTTGTATGAATGGTTACTGTTGGGGCAAACGCCTCCTTTCCATTTACCAGGGTTCGATTTTGGGTACCTATTTTTGACCTGTACAGCCATTGCTGAGCCCCCCGAGCCTCCTGTACCTTTGCCTTCAGCCCTGGCGACTCGGCCTTTGCGAATCGACCTTTATGACCCAAGGTGGTTCCCTCGCTTTGGTTCCAACTGGTCGACCGCCTTGGCCCTTTGGGCGAGTGAGAAGGACTCGGTACTTTTCCCAACGGGGGGGGAGGGAGAGGGCACAGAATATGGCCTTCTTACGTGAAAACACGGCTCAAACTCGGACATCGGAGGAAGTTCCCATGGATTCCCACCCTGGTGGAGCCCCCATTTTCGCTGGGAAACCACTAGGACACCCACAAGCTTTTTTGGGGATCGATCCCTCTTTTCAGACCTTTCCATTGACCAACTCACCAGCTGATTCAGACGATCCGCTATCCGGCGTTTCGCGGGTCGGATCCGTCCCCAGAAGTGATGGACCCTGGGGGGCCCCATGGGGGGTATCCCTGAATAAGCCCTTGAGAATGCCTTGAGGGGTTAATAAGTGATAGCCCCCTCTCCCCATGGCCCCCTCTCTCTCACTGGATTCCATGAAGTCAACCCGCCTCCAGGAGAGCCGCCAAGAGCTCTGAGCTGCGCCGAAAAGAGAGCTGCTGCATTCGACCCTTTCTCCCGTGCCTTTTCGGGGCCTGAAATGGGCGGTTTGTTTCCGGGCTGGGGGGGGGGGCGCTTGGACTCCGGAATGTTAGGCAGATCTTAGCCTGAGCTCCTGGACTTGATGATGATGTTTTTTGGCCATTTCAGTGGCAAGCACTCAGGTGACCTTTGCCAAGCCCAGGAAGTGAGACATGAACAAAACCAAGAACGTCGAAGATTGTTCATGGACGCGTCTCGTAGCAATCGCATGCTCAACTGCACCCGATGCCTGTTTGTTGATCAATTTTCCTGGCCCCCAAATGACCACGATTTTTTTTTCTGATGGGAAATATCATTCTTGTAGTGGTTTCTCTCATGGTCATCCCATGTAAAGGACCGTTTGATCAACCCCCACATATCAACCAAATTTGGGAGGGCAATTCTAAAAGCGGTCTTGCACAAATTCGTTTGTGACCGATGTCTCCCATGATAAAGTGGCCTTTCTTGAAGATCCCTGATGAGTTCAGATGTGTGCATCATGGTACTTTGCCCGTACATGCATGATATATATATATATGTATATACATATGTATCTATAAATGTCTAGACGCATATCCGTCTCTATCACCTGTCCAATCTGCTCAACCTTAGTAAACCTAGTTGGTTGGAAGTACTTCGTCCCCAAGGCAAAAAGATCCCATGGGTTGCTTGTAAATCTCACCTGGGCCTTTGAAAGCAAAAGTCTTTCCTTTGGATGAGGTGTTGGTCAGGGGAAATCTGGGGTATCGCTGCCCCGGGGCCCAGGAACATCGGCCCTGCATCACAAACCCAGCCTCTCAGGCAGCCAAGTTGTCACCCGGGAAACAAACGACCAAACAAACGCCTCAGGCCTTCCGCACAGGGAACAAATCAGAAAACCAGAATAGCCGAAGGAAAGGGCAACCCGAGAACACCAAGAACGCCAGAGCAAGACAGAAAACCAGGCCCAAACGTCAAGTGCCATACCTCGCAGCACACCTCGCAGGTGGAGCAGGTGGTGATGCCCTTTTGCGTGCTCCACAAGGGGGTGATACGCATGAAGGTGGCAAAGCCCCTCGCCGGAAAATTGGCGTTGTTTGTTTTGGTTTGCATTTTTCGAGGATCGGGACCCTTTTTAGGGTTGGTACCAAGGGCAAACCAAATGGACAACTTGTTTTTTTTCCGGGCGGGTCCCTATTTGAAAGATGATTTGGGGTGCGCAACCCAGGGGTAACCCTCCCCCCAGGACCAGCAAGAGACTGCCCTGGCACACACGGAGACATGTCTGGTGTTGAGGCTCGATATACCCTTTTGGATGTAATCAAAGGGAAACCCAAAGGGTTTGAGACACACCCAGATTCCTTTGGCAATCCCATGAGCTCACCAACCGATCAGCAGTTCCAGTGTCGGAAATCAGGTTTGGCACCGGGCGACTTTGAGAAGAGACGGGATTTTTTTGGGGAGTGTTTTCAAAATTACCAAACGGCATGGACAGAACATTGATAATGTTGACCCCGAACAAGGGGGTATTAACTTATACAAGAAAAGACAGCCCCATAATATATATATATATATATACACAATTATTTTCAGGGTAGTTTCTCTTCAAAGCCACCAACCAAAAATACCAACTCACAAACCAAGAGGGCCCCAAAAAGGTGTGTTTTTTTTGGTTTCCTGGGAGGGACCCAGGTTCCGAGGTTCAAGCCCGCTGCAGCTGAGGTTCGCCTTATCCCATGCCGCCACCTTCGATGGAGTCAAGAACCGGTGCGAGGCTGGCTGGAAACGAACACGAGCCGGCAGTTTCGTCGGACAACCGAGCCGGCTTTGTTGTGGAAATGTTTCACAGGGTTCAGCTCCCTGTATGGCTATGGGTCAAAACCCCGTAACTTCATTGAACATCCAAATTCTTACTAACATAGACTAACATGGGTGGTGCACCTACCCCAAAATGGTACCACTGGTGTTGACCTACGGCCATTTCTTGCCCCCCGCTTGGTGGCAACAATCACCCAATTGATCCCTTTGAAAGTGAGCTTCCTTTGGGGTGATGTTTCGAGGGGAACTAGTGGAGTGTCCAGGTCTTAGACTGAGAATGAACTTCTTATCTAAGCTGGGAGCTTCCGCCCAAAACCCGGTGGACGAGTTGCACGACGGGTGCCTCCCCAAAGGAGCCTCGGCTAAGGATGCATAGTATGCAGATGATGAATCATGATGATTCCTCCAGATGGAGTCGAAGCATTTGATTACTCGGCCACTGGCACGTATGGCTGTTTGTCAACCCTCACTCGAATTTGTTTGTCAAGGGGCCTTGCTGGCAAATCAAGGCGCTTGTTACTTAAAGTCACATTCTTGCAACACCAACAGACCTAGTGGCCCAGTGGGGCCTTTTTGCCCAGTGGGGCTCTTTTTCGCTGTTTTGGAGGAGGCATCCCTTTTTAAAAGAAGCATGTCCTTTTTCCCCTTGGCTCTGGGAAAACTTCCTGGTGCTCAGCAGGGAATAAGGAAACGATCAAGCGCTTCATTCCCATCACCCGGCAACAGGCCATCGATCGCGCAAGAGCCGCTGGCTGCCTCGATCTGGCCCAAGCGTGCCCGCAGGTGGCGGCACAAAGCCCGGCTTTTTCTAGAGAGGCCAGAAGGAGATCCGCACTTTAAAGGGGGTCCCGCAATTCAGGACACTTCGGTGTTTTGATGTATTCCAACAAAGGATCTTTGGGTTTGAGTCCTTTTGGCAAACAAATGGGAGCCTGACGCGGCCAATTCAATGCTTTTGCGCGTGTCGGTGGAACGGCCTAAGTTTATTTTTGGGTGGACATTGCCAAGTTGGGAAGGAATTGCTTCTTGCCACCAGCAAGGGCAGCCACTGTCCATTCAGCTGCGCAGGAAAACAACAAACGCAAAGCTGTCACACCAAAACCAGGCCCAAAACAAGCCAAACACAAACCGACAAAACACAGACACCTTTGAGCGCGGGGATTTATCTACCCTTTAAAGGGTCCATAGGAAAGGAGACGGACGCATCCGTCCCGTGCCTTTACTTCATGGAGGTGGCGCTGCTTGGGTCAGGGCTCTTCGCCAGTAGGTGCCATGCCCCGGCTCTGAAGGCGGGGTGAAGTCGCGGGGGTGCTGGTGGCTCGTTTTCTAGGTGCACCCCCCCCAAAAAACAAACAAACAAACAAACAACAACTGTGTTACATGGACAATGTGACGTCAGGGGACTTGGGCATGGCTATACAAACCCAATCAAAGGTAAAAGCTGTTTCCTACCTTTTTGCTCAGTTGTTCAAAGCGAATCGAGATTGTCCATATTTAGTCGCCCCAAAGGGTTAACCTTTTAGTTCCAGGTCCAAACCGGGCAACTGAGTTTGGTGTCTCGTAAAAATCGAACAGCTTGGAGGGCAGTTCCAAAGGGGCGGTGGAACACGGCAGCATTCTTTGACGCATCGAGCAAGCCTGTTGTGAGAGGCTTCCCCAAAAAGGGTACACCCAACCCCAAAGGGCTCCAGTGTTCTGGCTTCCCCTTAAACCACCCTCCAAAGACAAAGGGTGATTGCCCTCAAAAAGACTTTGCCCAAGGGAACCAAGCAAGGAAGGTGTGTTTTGCTCAGACACCCGAATTGGTATTCGGGAGTCGTCGCTCCCTGAAAATATGTCTGGCATTGTTGGAACCCCCTTACATATGGAGTCTGGGGGCCGGCAGGGTATTGTCCCTCTTTTCGAGGGGCCTTTGTTGAGTTCCATGTTAGATGGGAGCGGAATGGATTCCTCTTTAGGCACTGTGGATCGACACAATCCGAGATGGCGCCACGAAATGAAACATGGTTGAAACAATGGTTTGTTGGTAATTATAGGGGAATCATCATTCCGTTGGGCTTCTTGGGTGGTGCGAAATGGATTTTGTCCATCCGCAGTATATCAAACTTTCCCAGGCCGCACAAAGGCCCTGCGAGCAATTTTGAACAAGCTGGCGGAGGTTGTCGGCTCCTTAAAAGATACATGTTGCAACCATTTGAAACAGTTTTTTTCCACCAAAATAAAGGAACACCACCATTTACAAGGCAATGTTCAGGTGTATAATGTAAGGATCCCTGTTTTCTTTAGGATCAAGAATGAGGCTTCCCCCCAAAGGGGAAATTTATCTTCCAGGTACTCGTCCACAGAAACATAAGAGAACCTGACAAACAGATAGCGATTGCAAGAAGGTCTCGTTTTGATTGAAGCTTCTGACCATATGCTGTAATAGCACCCAGGGGTCTCACCAAGCAGACATGGGAAGAAAACAAAGAGGTCCCTTCCACACGTGTGCCGTGTGTTTGTGAGACGAAGGGCAACCCCCCATTGGCTGGGTAGGTTCTACTCTCCGGTTTCTTGGGGTGAAAAAAGTAAGGCCCCGTGGAACGACAGAGTACCAGTTTTTCTGATTGACCAAGCAAATATGTGTTATTCTCTTCGCCCGGTTGGTTAAAGGGGCAATCTATCACTTCTCGACATGTGCTTTTACTTTTCCTGGAGACTTAAGCAAATACATACAAGGGGCTGGTGGAATTTCCTCGTCGGCTGGATTTGTTTCTTCATACAAACTCCTGGAAAGCATCCAGGGTATCTCCCCTTCTACTACCATGATCTACCCCCCAAGCGGTAGGCCAAGGGGAAACACCCCCCTCAGTGTCTGAAAATGAGAACCACCAGACATGCTCTCGTGTGAATAGTCGGCAGGATTTGTTTTCCTCTTTACAAACTGGAACACATCCAGGGTATCTCTCAACCACCAGAAATGGTGAACACAATGAGTGCATTTTGCTTGGATGTTATGACTTCAACTTGTTGCCAACTAATGGGTTTCCATTAAACCGCTAAAAGTTAAACTTTTAGCAGGGGAGCAGAAAGCAACCGAGAGCCCATCTTGGAGACGTTCGAAGATTTGGAGGCTTCGGCCTGCCACGTGCGCGGCGTCTGGTCCCGCGGCGAAGCTGGCGCATGCAGCCGCGTGGCTTTTAGCGACGCGACGCCTCGCCTGTGTGAGTTTTTTGGGCGCCCCACAAAAAACTTGTGGGTGTGTCTTTTTTGTAGGGGACCCCGAAAATTGAACGTTTCCTTGTTTTCCTTTCAAACCACCAGAAAAGGATTGACCCTCCAAGGGCTGATTCCCCATTGGAAACAGTCAATTGACCTCATAAGCAAGGGTTCATACCTGGGATTCATGTGGGAGAATACATCCAGCCTTTGATTCGGGCATATATTGGAGGTGTCTTTTAGGGGTGATGTTTGAAGGGGACCAATGTGGGGTATCTTTGAAGATGTTTTACTTTTTTTGGCGTTTGCCAAGCATGGACCGGCATGGCATGTGTTTTTTCATTGGCATTCAAGAGGTTTCGTCAAAAGAAAATAGAGTCCAGAGAGTTCCACGAAGAGGCTTGCAAAAAGCAGACCTCAGAAAGTCGCAGGGTCTCTCAAGGCTTTGTACTCAGGAAGTGCCTGCTCGCAATGTGGAGATCAAATGTAGCTGCCAAATTCCCCATGAGAACCCCATGACGAGAATCAAACGCTGGGAGATGTCTCCCTGGCGATCCTTCACAAGGGATTTTCCACGGGGAATGCCACAGGAATCCTTAAGGGTTCTTCACTCTTGTTGCCATGCTTTTAGGTTTCTTGTTGTTTTGGTTCTCTTCATTTCTAGCAGGGGGCTGCAACAATCAAAGCTTGTTGCTGTCATACAAACGGTTGGAAAGGGTTGATGTCCATTTTCTTCACCCATTCTCAACCCCCCCCCCCCATTTGCCAAGTTTGGATTCCCCCAAAAAGGAACCTGGGATGGAAATGGAAGATACAGCCATCTAAGCGTTCCGCCGTTCCGCTACAGGAAACTCTACCGAAACTCCCTGTTTTTACTGTAGAAATTCCTGCAGCTTATGAAGTGGTAACCCTCCCAGCTACTAGTTGGTTCCCATACTAGAAGCTGTATTTGTTGTTCTTTGGCAAAAGTCCTGTAGCTATTTACTGAAGCGGCACTCCCGCCCCTTCCCTGCCCTTTGCTCCTCCTAAAAACTTGGAAACATTGACACTCCTTGACGAATAGTGTGGAAAAATGGACAAGCCATATTTTTGTTTTCAAAACATTTGATTTTTCGAAGAAAACAAAACAAGTCTGGATTTTGATTTTTGGACGGTGAAATGGTTGAAGCATAGAAAAATCCACCTGGTGGACTCCGACTCGGCCAGCTCTGAGGCCTGGCGTCGAGTTTCGGCGAAACCTGCCGAGCCCTTTGGGGCGACCAGGGCCTGCGAGACCTGCTGGCAGACGCGCAGTTGCAGGCGGTGCCGCTTGTCTCGGCAAGAATCGAGAACTGCGGGGATGGGCGGGGGATCAAAGGAGCGGCGTGTTTGTGTGGTTGCTTGTTTGCGTGTTTGTGTCTTTCTTCAGTTCTTTATTCTGTGTTCTTGGGCGCCCCTTTTTTTCAATAGAAGGCGAAAGGACACCTAGCTTCTTTGGGGGCAGGAGACACATGTGGAGTCCGTTTCGAGATGGCATGTGGTTGGATGCGGTTGACTTAAGAGTGGGAGACCTTTGGCCTGAAGCTTGAGTGGTTGACATTATGGGAGCTTGGTATTTTTTTTATTTTTATTTTTAAGGGGGAAACCCAACAAAGCTGGTTGGTTTCCTTTTGGTTTTCCTGAATACCATCAATACGGTTGGTTTCCTTTTGATTGTTTTTTTTTGAATGCCATCCATCCAAGGAACTATCTTGGAGAGACATGTGTGACACCCGCCGA